AGCAAAAGTTGGGCATTGATGGTGCACGCCTTTAATCACAGCACTCGGGAGGCAGAGGCAGGCAGATCTCTGTGAGAGAGAGAGAGACAGAGAGAGAGAGAGAGAGAGAGAGAGAGAGAGAGAGAGAGAGAGAGAGAGAGAGAGAGAGAGAGAGACCTAAAGCAGTTGGACTTGGGAGAAAAGTCAGGTCGAAAGGCCAGTCTGGTCTACGTAGTGACTTCCTAGCCAGAACTAGCTACTGAGACCCTTCTGGAAAAACAAAAGCAACACTCCTACAAACACAAGACAGAGAAGTGTTCACAGAGCTACTAAGTTAAACCTTCCAAGAATACACCCTATTGACCTAATGGATATATATAAAAACTTGTTAAACAAGGAGCGTGTCTCCTCTTATAGTGACTGTGAAACATATATAAATGAAAAGTTTCAAAAAACTTTATCAGAGCAAAAAAAAAATACTATGTCCATCTTTGAGTACACCAAAATAACATTAAAAACTAATAGCAAGCCATTGCCAATAACAACAATAATCATACAATGATGCTTAAAAAAACACTTTCTAAAAGAGAAAAACAAAACAGAACAGGCTTTAGAAGCTAATAGGAGCCAGATGTCATTGCACACATCTATGACAGAAACAAGATGATCACCTGTTCCAGGGCACCCTGGGCATCAGCAAGACCCTGTCTCAAAAAATTGAAATAAAATAAAGACTTCACCCTATTGGTGAATCCTAGGTCAAAATGTATATGTCAAACTGCCAAAACAACTTATTTAAGAGATAAAATACATAAAGGAAAAACATATGCCTAGCAGGATCTGCTTGTAGATTCTGTTATGTTTCAAGGAGCAGCTAATTCATATGACAAATAAGTCGGGGGTGCATGCGCAGTATGTGGTTGGGAAAAGGGCTGAATGACTGACTGGATGCAGAGAAGTATGACACACTGATGCCTGGGAACCAAGAATTAAGGATTGAGAGAGGGGTTTAGCATGGGGGGTTGGGTAGGAAAGGCTAAGACTGGTTAAGGCTGATGCTTAACCTCTAGTTAAAATGACTTTGGTCACCCATACCCACCTGGTCTGGCAAAACCTCCAAAGACCCCTCTACTTCCTCCCTCCACTCCCCCTCGGAACCGACAACCCTGCTTAGGGAACTAGAAGGCTGGTATCCACGGGCTAATCCAGACAGATCAATTAGAACAGCGGGACCAAGGAGGCTGACAGCACCAGGCTGTCCCAGAGACCTGCCCATCCCCCCGGGGCCCTGCCCGGGACCTTTGCAGGTGCAATCTCTCCAGGGGGCAGTGAGAGCCATGAATAGTAAGCATTTTAGCTCAAGCACATAGAGGCGTTTAGCTGCCTAAACCTAATCCCCCAGTAATCGGATTATGTAAATTCCTACTCCAACCTCTTCCCCGGCAGGACCTAGCCTCAGAATGCTCTCTACACTGGGAGAATGGGATGGGAGCCGACCATCACTCTGAGAAGCCCCTGCTAGGGAGCCGATGCACCCAAACGGCTCCCAAAAGCATAAAGCCAACGGTAACGTTTGAGAAGGTCCAGGGACAAAAGCCAACCCTTCTCCAGTGTGCTAACACACTTAAGCTCTGAGTCTCTGCCCTTTGTCTGAGCGCCTGCCCACTGGCACGGAGTTTATTTTATCGCTTCTTTCACCCAGCATCCTCCCTCGAGCCTTGTCGTTCGCTTACCACGAGTCTTTTTCACAAATGTAAAAAACGAGCCACGGAGAAAATACATCACCTCACGGTTTGGGGCTGAGGTAGGATGAGAAGCTTTTGTGTGGCCTGTCAACACTGTGATATAACCAGACCGTGGACCCCGCGGGGACGCTTTCTCCCCCGCAGCACAGAGCAAGGGAGCAGAGAGAGGCTCAGGCCACGGGTGCTTTCTGCACATCCCAGGCTGTGTCTCTGCGCGCGAGTCGGCCGGCCCTCCTTATCCTTCCTCCACTGCGTCCCCAAGCTACAACCAGCGTGAACCTTGGAGCTCCAGCTGCGGTCACTGTCCCCATCTCTTTCTGTCTGTCCTCCAAGAGTCCAGGCACCCGGGGCCCTGTCCCGGGCACTGTACTTCAGGAGCGCTGCTCCCGGCCTCCTCTGTTGCCTGCCCTGTCCACAGTCCCCGCTTTCTGGACAACAATCTGGACATTTGGGAACCCTGGATTACTTGACAATAGGCCCTGAGCCCATTTCCAATGTTGGTTTCGGGGCTCTTTTCAAGTCCCTGTGGGCCTGGAGTCCACGTAATACACAAGGCTCTTCACTGGCATAAATGGAATTGTGGGTAGGAAGGAAACAGAGAGAAAGGAATTAGGAGTCTCCATTTGTCCCCTTGTCTTTTAAGTTCCTCAGCTGCCAGCGGGAACCTTGCTTCAAGGCCTTGTTTAAATGCCGTCCCTTCCACAAGTGATGCCTGGTTGTCCGGTCAGAATCTTTTACCTCTCGTTGTAACTAGAATTCATGTTCTCTGCGACTCAGGACTGTCGATCTTGTATTCAGTCTGTTCGTCATGTCCTTTTCAGCTTTCTGGCTCTGGTACCTGAGCTTTGCAGCTGAGGCAGTTTCTTTTCGATTTGAAACAAAATGATGAGTTTTCATGGGTATAGGGTAGGGAGTCCCAGGCGTGACAAAGCAGCCTGAGTCTCAGGGCCTCAGAGCTCTGATCTCTCTCCTGCTGCGTTGGGGTTATGTTTGGTCTGGGGTTTGCTGCCTGGTACCCAGGCTGCAGGAGCAACCTCCAAGCCTGGCACCGAGACAGGGAGGTATATTGTTTCCGCCTATGCAGAGCTGTGTGGGATCCTCGCACAGAGCAGGGAACTGGAGTGCAGTTGTAACAATGATACAATCAGCCACTACAGAAACCGGTTAATACTCTCCTACGTGCTGCCTGTGATTCTACATCCCTTACCTGCTTTTGCTTCTTATTTGATTCTCATAGCTCCAGAATGACACCCACGTTACAAATAAGGAAACCCAAGCAGAGTATGATGAGTATGAACAGACAAGACAGTTCAGCCCCGGGGAATGCAACCCCAGAGTCATTTGCTCTTGTTCACCAAGGTGAATATGAATTTATTGTCTCAAATCCTGGGACCTTCAGAGAGAGAGAGAAATGCCAAGAGATTGTTTAATCATATATTAATCAAGCAGCATTTGATGGACATCCATTCAGTGTGGCAATGAGGGAATAGTAGAAGATAAGACAAGATAAATAAACAACTGTTACTAAGTGGGGTGACGCTCTGAGAGTACAGAAGACAAAGGATGAGGTGTGTGAGGGAGTGTGCCTTAGTGTGGGGGGGTGTGAGTGTGAGTGTGTGAGAGAATGTGTGTATCTGTGTGTGAGTTGTGAATGTGTGTGATCATGTGTGAGTGTGCCCGTGAGTGTATGTGTGTGAGTGTGTTAGTCTGTGTATGAATATGTGAGAGTGTATGTGAGAGTGTGTGCATGTGTGTGAGTATATGTCTGTGAGTATATGTGTGTAAGTGTATATGTGAGAGTGTGTGCATGTGTGTGGGTGTGTGTGTGTTTGTGTGTAGGCACAATCTTAGTATGCTAGCAAGCTGGTAGGTGATGGACTTGAGATGGCTCGGTGGGGGGAGACACTTGCTGCCAAATCTGAAGTCCTGAGTTTGATCCCTGGAGCCCAGAGTGGAAGGAGAGAACTTCCTCCCTCGTGGTGTTCTGTGACTGCCACACATTCGCCTTGGTGCACCCAAGGCAATAAATGCGTAAAGATAATTCTTAAACATGTAAAGCTCTTCATAGGGAAGGTGCCCCCCCCCAGGGAAGACTAAAGAGGGTTGTGTCTGGTTTTGTTTGGACGTATACTTACTGTGCACACCTGAGCAGGGCCTGAACTTCTGCTGACCTGAAGCACAGCTAAGGAGGGGCAGGGAGGGAGGCCGCCTATGGACAGCCCGTGAGGAGCTGAGGGAACTGTGATAGGAGGCAGGAGGAAGTCTGATGTGTCCCTAAAGGACAAACCAGAGTCTCTGGAGTAGGGGGAACCCCAGGGAGAGGAGGGACAGCTTAAAGAGGTAAAGAGCTCTCAAGGGCCAGTTAAAGCAGCTCACTTTCCGTCTGTTGCTTTCTGTTTGCTTGTTTGTTTGCTTCTGTCTGCTGGTCAGACAAGGTCTCTCACTACAAAGACCACGGGGGCCTCAGATGTCCCATCCTCTTGCATTGGGGTTGCAGAAGTGTGCCAGCACACACGAATGCTTAACTTGGGATGAAATGGAAAACCACCAGTGAGTTTAGATCTAAGAAGTGACAGAGGTCTGACTTGTGTTTTCTTAGATCATCCTGGGAGACCCAGGACAAAGGAAGGCAGCAAGGGCAGAGTCCCTCCATCCCTACAGTCATCATGCCCTGTGTTGACCAACAGAAAAAACTAGACCTGGAGGCGCGTTGGTGGCACATACCTTTAATCCCAGCCCTCAGGAAGCAGAGGCAGGCGGATCTCTGTGAGTTCCAGACCAGCCTGGTCTACAAGAGCTAGTTCCAGGACAGCCTCCAAAGCCACAGAGAAACCCTGTCTCGAAAAACCAAACCAAACAAAACAACACTAGACCAGACCCATAAATCCATCAGTCTGTCCAGTGCGGTGCTTTAAAACCTGATTGTGTGTCTTCATTTCCTGGGGTCATTTGGTAAAAATGCAGATTACAGGCCTCATCCCCCAAACCCGTTTAGAGGGTCTGGAGCAGGGCGTTGGGATCAGTCTACACCTGTGCTGGGATCTGAGTTAGCCAGAGTGCTTGTCTGTAAAAGGAGGTTGGAAGAAGACCGCCCCCCGCAAAGCCTCGGACGAAGAGGGGTCCTCCTTCCTCCATTGCTCTTTGGAGGCTGCACAGGAGTGGCTGCTGGGGCAAAACGCGGAGCGACTGGTGGTGTCCTGGGCGGAAAGCCCCCTCCCGCCCCCCCAGACAAAAGGCGGTGTCCTATAAAGGCTGTGGCCGAGGCTCTGCGTCCAGGCGAGGGCGCACACGGACAGCCGACAGCCTCTGCGACAGCCGCTGTGACAGCGCGGGCTCCCAGCTCCCGGCCAGAAGGTGCGTTGACTTAAGGGAGCCGGAGTGGACAGGCACGAGGGTGCCACCGGGCCACCGGGCAGGCCACAGAGAACAGAGAGAGAGAGATGCGGCCACTCGGTAGTAGCCACCGAGAAACTCTTTGGATGACCCGGGAACTTTAGGCGGGGCATTGGCATTGGTGCGGTACTGCAAGCCGCCTTAGCTGGACCGCAGGGGACAGTCCCCACCACCCCAGAGCATATCCACGGGGGACGGGGGTCTTTATACAGCCGCCCAGATCTCTCTTAGCGATCCTCCTGCACTTTGCAGACGTGACAGATGCTTTCCTGGACTCCCAAAGTAACGTATCAGGCAGGTTTGCTACGGTGAGATGAGATACCTTATTACAGTTACTTTTTGATGAGTGGGGAATGGGTAGCTGGGGGATGAAGGGGATTTACAGACAGGCAGCACACTGAACAGAAAGAACAGAGAAGTCAAAGTGCGCCTCAGCCGGGGTGGCTCCTGGGCAGGCGCACGAAAGGGGACCGTCTGTCTTAGTCCACTCCCAAGACAGCGGCACCCAGTAAGTTCTGCAAGACACTGCAACCGGTGCTCTTAAGCAATGCAGGGTTGCTCTGAGACAACCTTGCAGTATGCATGGTGCATGCTAACGTGTGAGTGAGTGTGAGGCGTACACCTCAAACCCTCAGTGACTGGCGAATGAAATCGGTTAAATAGATAGGTAGGAAACCTTCGTTGCACGGTTTACTTTTCAAATTGTTTTTGAACTGGTGTGGAATAACTTTTAAAGATGAACATAAAAGGTGTTCAATAACATTGTAACATTTTCAAATTGTGATTTTTGTCATTTTTCTCCTCTCATTCCCCACCACCTGCTACCCCCATTAACCCCACCCACCCACCTTGTAGCCTTTCCCTGTAAGTTTGACGTGGTACGTTTTTCCAGAACCGAGTGTTGGCTGTTAGACCCCATTCCCAATCCAGCTATGCAAACTGCTATCCAGCTTCCTTCCTATGGGGGTATCTGCCCTTCCAAGAGGATATTGTAGGAAGAGACAAATACACAGGACAGAGAGCCTCACAACCTTAGGAACAAAGGACCTGTGTGAGCCTGCAGGCCTGAGGCTGACCCTGTAGCCGTGTGAGCTGCCGACTTTTGTGCCTTTCTAGTTGAGGTGGGGTTTGTGTCCAGGATCTGTGGGCATCAAAGAGCAGCACTGTCTATTAGCAACAGTGGACACCTTTTCGAAGAGCGTAAGTCATTTTCTTCAGTAATGTGTTAGCTTCGCTGGTGACAATATAAAGAGGTTGTACACTCTATCTTCATGTGGCTTTAACATGACATTCATCCAGGTGCTCCCTGTAGCACCTAGTGAGATAAATTGTCCAGGCAGGCCTTGAACTTGTAACTTTTTAAATTAAAACATTTTTGTGCATGTATGGGTATATATATATGTGTATAACTCATACACCTGGTTCCCAGAAGAAGGGGCTGGATCCTCTGGAACTGGAGTTACAAAAAATTATGAACTGCCATGTGGGTAGTGGGAATGGAACCCAGGACCTCTGGATGAACAGTCAGTGCTTGTAACCACTGAGCCATCTCTTCAGTCCTTATAACTCTTTCTTAACTTGAGTCTATAACCCCTACCTACCTAGGGATATGTGGCTAGAACCCAAAGGTTCTATGAATGGGGAAATATCACATATTTATTTTATAGTAACACTTATTATAAATGTAGCATTTCCTTTTTTACAAAATATAGGTAATAAAGTGCATTAATATCAACAAGGTTTTAAATAAAGTAAACCATTTGTCTTCCCTTCTCAGAGTAATGATTTTAGATGCATTAAGTACATAGACACAGGAAATAGCTAATTACATTTAGTGGTTTCTTAGATACTATGATTTCAAATATAATAGAGTAGAAAAATTTATCCAAAGACAAGACAGTAGTGGTGAATTTGTCACCAATGGAAGTCCCAGGTACCTGCATCTCACATCCCAAATGTTGTGAATCCTTTGAAAAAAAATCATTTCTTAGAAATTATGGTAATATGTGTAGTTCTTAATGTGTTAAAAATTAAGCAAATATATTACCATATTGCATTTTAATTTTAGTATTTTAATAACTACTAAGTAGAACTCATTTTCTGTGTTGCTGTGTTTTAACTTATGCATTTAAGATTTTGACATAGGAACCAATATATATTTAAAAAATCATTGTTCTGAGTGGACTGTAAACCCAGGCTTCCTTAGACCACCAAAAAGATTCACGGAGCAAAAAAAGTTAATGAACCCTAACCTAGTGGGAGTCCTCAGCTGTGACATTGAGGGTCTGCCCTCACTTCCCCGTCTATCTGTGGCATCTGGTGCGGAATTTTTCCTCTCCTATTTTCCTGAAATCAAGATTAGCGGCAATCAGTCCTTGCAACTGGAGAAACACTAAATGCAATTTTCCTTTGATTTAAAAAGTATAGTGCAGCGATTTTCCAGTGGCCTCTATTTTGAGCTTTTCCAGCTTGTTAAGTTACTGATTTCTATTTCCCCCATGGAGAAGGAGAGTAAAACACTTGAGGTTAAATCAACATGTAATTACCAGGCATCCCTTGGATGGCAGGCTGCATTTCAGAAGAGTTTCCTCTCCTCTCCTCTCCTTTCTTTCTTTCTTACTTTTTTTTTAAACCGACCCTTCTGTGTGTCTAATACAATAGGCTCCAGCCGTCTTAGAAAAACACCACAACCAGTTTTCCCTGCCTAATCTTCTTTGCTCCTAGCCTGAAAAGGACCCCCACCCCCCACGGGACTAAAGTTGACTCGGCTGTGAGCTAAACCCTCGTTTGATAAGACAACTTTGTCCCCCAGGCCCGGCCAGCTCCGGTGTGAACAAAACCTGATAGTTTTCTTTCTGTCTTCAAGTCCACTTGATCTGGGCTCAATTATAGTTGTCTGTTTCAGGTATAATTGGGGCAAAGTTCTGGCAACATACTTCTATTGTAGAACCAAAGGCCAAATATCCAGAAATGACTCAGGCTAGATAATGGGACAGTGTACATTTCTAAACAGGAAGAGATCCGGCCCACCTGCCTGTCTGTTTTACAGGTGTGGTTTTCTTGGAAGTTTGCTCTAGCATGTGGGAGGGCTGTGTCTCTGCTTCTGCAGAATCTGTTTTCCTCCCTCAGGTAAACAAAAGGCAGTTTGCTCCTGAGGGTCCAGCAGCAGTACAATAAAGCCATTTATTCCCTGGTTCAGGATACAGTTCTGACCCCTCCAAGAGTCTGCCATCATTGAAAATACACAACGAAAATGTATTTGACAGCCGGGCGGTGGTGGTGCACGCCTTTAATCCCAGCACTCGGGTGGCAGAGGCAGGTGGATCTCTGTGAGTTCGAGGCCAGGACAGCCTCCAAATCAATACAGAGAAACCCCGTCTTGAAAAACCAAAAAAAAGAAAAAAGAAAATGTATTTGACACACGTAACCTATAGATCACTAACTTTGGCCAGCATACCTTAAAAGTGCTCGGAACACTTACCTTAGCCTACAGTTGGGCAAAATTACCAAGGCAAAGTGTCTCTTATAAGAAAGTGGGAAACGTCACATGTAAGTAGTTGACTACCCCGAACACTGACAGCACAGCAGTGTGTACTGCTGTTCACCCCACTGATGGTGATGGTGCCGCTGATAGGCAGCTCCAGGGTCTGCAGAGAACATTATGCTGTGCTATGAAGGCTCGTATAGTCAGGGTCAGGAAGAGGCTGGGTGGAGCTGATACTGCCCCCAGTACTGGAGACGGAACCTCAGGCCTCCCTCCTGCATGCTAGGCCAGTGTCCTTGCCCGGGAGGGACAAACGCACTCGGAGGCTCAAGGAGGCCCTGAGCTTCAGTAAGGAAAGCAGGCCTGCGTTGCCAGGCTGGTCTTAGAGCAGCTTTTGAAGGAATGTGGAGAAAGAGAGAGAGTGTGAGGGGGGATTCAAGACAGAGGAAACAGCAGGAATGAGAAGGCAGAGAGAGTCAGCTTCCCTCTTTGGAGGAGGCGGAGGGGCCCCTGGGGAGCCGAGGTTGGAGCCAGCAGCAAGAGACAGCCGCGAGGTGCGGACTCCAGGCTGCCTAGGGCCAATGTATTGTGAAGGTTCCCATTAAAACACACTAATCATCCAGACCACCTGGCAAAAACGGGGGACTGCGCCTCCTAGAGTTAAAGACATGAGATTGGGCAGTATTTCATGACAGCTTTCCTAATGTGGAAACAGTGAGCTTTGGGAGTGCCAAGAAGCCCGGGTGTTTGCTGTGGATCCAAGCCACAGAACACCCGGCCCCTGTTCTTTTCATTCTTATCAGGCTGAACACCCCATGTCTGTTTTCATAAATCTGGGTGTCACAGCCCTTTATCACCCTGCTCACCGTCTTCCAAATGAACTGCTGTGTGAACATTCTAGCTACTGGAGATTGGAGCCCAACCTTCCAGCTAAGGTCAGCTAAAACAAGGGGGAGCTGTCCCGTTTCCTCCAATTCAAATGCCACTTCACTGATGTAAACTGGGGGTGCAGCCCTTTCTCCCTTACACGCTTGTGACACGTTGCACGTTCACATGCAACACTTCCTGGGCTAAATATGTACTTTATTCACACATGTGTACTCAATTGCATACCGTAGGCGATTTTGATCAACTGGGAAGGGTAGGTTACGAAGGAAGCAGTGGGGTTGGAGGTGTCACTTAATCGGTGCTGCATGGCGAGAGTAAAGACCTGGGTTCAACCCCCGCTGATCCAAAAGCGGTGGCACATGCCTGCAATCCTAGCACTCAGGGGGTGAAGGTAAGAGGATCAGAGTTCAAGGTCATCCGTGGCTGCATGGTGAGTTTGAGATCCAGCCTCAAAGGGGAGGTGGGGGCAGCAGTGGGGGGGGGGCTGAATGCAGTTTCCTTATGGCGACTTCAAAAAAACCGGGGAGATAAGGTTACGGGGAGTTGTTCTTCTTTGGAACTTTCTCCCGCCATCTTTTTTTTTTTCCTCTCCCATCTCAGGAACCCGGACATGACCAGAAAGATCTTCACAAATACCAGGGAGCGCTGGAGGCAGCAGAGTGTCAACAGCGCCTTTGCCAGGCTGAGGAAGCTCATCCCCACTCACCCTCCAGACAAGAAGCTGAGCAAAAATGAAACGCTTCGCCTGGCAATGAGGTATATCAACTTCTTGGTCAAGGTCTTGGGAGAGCAGAGCCTACAGCAAACAGGAGTCGCTGCTCAGGGGAACATCCTGGGGCTCTTTCCCCAAGGGCCCCACCTGCCAGATGTGGGTGGAAGAACTCTGCTCAGTGACTGTGGAGTTTCTTCCCCCGGCCCAAGCCACGAGGCTCCCTAAGGTGACTGAGGCGGTCAGCCCCCAGGACAGCACTAGCTGAAGAGTCCTGTGGTTTCATGCTGTAGACGGGCATGACGCAGGAAGTGATTGGCACAGAAGCTGAGAGCAGCAAGGAGACTTGAGCAATGTTGCTCTGGCCTCATCACCCCAGAACTTCAGGCAGAGTGGCTCGCTGCTGCCTGTTCTGTAAGTTTGCAGGAGTCCATTGCAAAAAAACAAAAACAAAACAAAACAAAACAAAAACCAAGCATACATTTAAAACTGCTGTCTCACGGCTTCAATAATGAGGATTTCCTTATGCTGGCTCTCAGACGGATGAGCAAAGCTGGTGTCCTCTGAAACTATTTAAAAGTTTGCTTTAAAAGGGGGACATGTTTGACTGAGGGTAAATACAAGACATCTTAAACGTATGAATGAAAAGATAGCCGCTGTGCAAACCAGCCTGGCAGAGGTGTGGGGCGGATGTCCCTTTGGAGCAGAGCTGGGAGGATTATGTATGTGGGGAGGTTCCATGTCCTTAGGCCTCTGCAGAATCATGCTATTCTACTTCAGTTGAGCCTCTGGAACCAAACAGTGGATTTCATTCACTCCAGGAAAAACCTTGATGATTTAGGAGCTAGACTTCACAGTTTCCTTATAAAAGTTAGCTAAAATGAGTGAGCAAACTACTAGGTTTGACACACTGGACACTAAAACTTTTAGTTCAGCCCACATTCCTGCTGGCTTAGGTCCTGTACAATTCGATAATTATGCAAACCCAAACGCTGCCATTTTATATTTTGCTGAGAGCAAACAGAAGGAATAAAGGACCAGATAGATGCTAGTGAACCAGTGCATTTAATCTCACCTCCCTGCCTCCCGGGGGGCATCCGCCGAGTGGTGAGGGGCAGGGCAACACCCAGTAAATCAGCGGAGCCGTGTGGATGCTCCGTTACCACTGCACACCGTTCTGGCGCTCACGGACCTGGATTCTTGTGAATCCCAGGTGGGCAATCTGTGGGTTGGGGTTACGAACTCCCGGTGTCTACACAATACAGGAATTTAGACGTCTTGTCTCTCCAGAAGGTCTTTATGTATAAGTAACTACATGATTAAAGTCGCTTTAGCCGGTGCACCTGCAGCACAATGGGCCGCCCTGTAGGTCCTCTGGCTGGCCTGCACATCGAATCAGTGTGGAGACAGCGAGCCGCAGAGGCTGGTGCAACCCTTCCTTCCGCCCTGGATGTGTGCGTCATTGTCGCCGCCGCCTTGGGGAAGAGTTGAGCCTATCTCCAAATTACCAGGCAGTGGGATGTTTCGAAGTTCTTATGGTAGTTGCCTGTTAGGTAACACCGCCCTCTCATCTGGCGTTAAAGAAAGCACGTTGGACAGGGGCTTTGTTTTTACTTAGCTTCTTCGAATATGAAGAGAGCGGAGGTCCTCTGTTCCTAAGAGGGAAATTTTTGTGCTCTACACTGAGTGCCGGGGCTTTTGAGCGTGCTCAAAGAACGCCTCCCGCTGAAATGCTACGGGGACCCCAAAAGATGTGAGGAGGTTGAGTTATCATTACAGTAAGCGAGGGGGAAAGTTATTTGAAGAAAGCCTAGAGGAAATTCTTTCACAGATGAACCAGCCTTTACAATGTTATTGTATGGATATACTCCTTAAAGTATTTGTTTAGCTTTAAATTTTTCTTTTCTTCCTTCCTTCCTTCCTTTTCTTCTTTTCTCTTCCTTCCTTCCTTCCTTCCTTCCTTCCTTCCTTCCTTCCTTCCTTCCTTTCTGAGATAGGGTTTGTCTGTGTGGCCCTGGCTGTCCTGGAACTCACTCTGTAGACCAGGCTGGCCTCGAACTCACAGAGATCTGCCTGCCTCTGCCTCCTGAGTGCTGAGATAAAAGGCGTGCGCCAACACCAATAGATTCTTTTTTTTTTTAGCTTCAATTTTTCTGTATCAAGTTGAATTAAATCAACAGGACTGCCAAAACAAAAACAAACAATAAACAACTGTAATCACATGTGGTCCCAAGCCTAGTCATGATATGTGTGAAACTGAAGCTAATTCAAACCTCCCTGTATGGTTTTCTCTGGTGGTCCTAGCAATAAGACTTCATAGTTGAAATGCATTACAGTCCACTGGATGCTTGTTTAGGGGCCGTTTGAGTCCAACAGAAGAGTTAAACCAAATTTTCTAACTATGTTTCTCTGTTCTTTGAACTGAAGTGAGCATTTGGTCTGCTTTGGACAGTAATGGAAATCTTTAGAAACTACATTCAAGCAGGACTTTGATTTGTATAGTGTTACTCCATGTCACAGAGAAGAAACCGATCTGTCTCGTGGGCCATCCGCAGAAACCTAGGACACAGATGCCAGTCCCCTGACCCTCCCTCTAGCCCGTCCATAGCGCCCATCAGTCACTGTGTATTTGGGATTGAAAATGAACAAGCGCCTCATCATGATGCTAACCCTAACCCAAAAGCACTTAGTGATCTTCGTATGCTTTCTTGTGATGTGAAACGATCATGCTCTGTAGAATGTGAGTAGTTGTGTCAACCAAAGATTTTATCTGTTGGTGTGCTTTGTGAGTTCTTAACCATCAATCATAACTTGCTATTTAACTGTTAACTTATTACAAATAAATTATTTAAGAAAATAAATAGGTGTAATTATTTTAAGGTGTGATTTTATAAACTCACTAAGCATATCCATCCCATCTCTGTACTCCCACCGTCACTGTCCTGACTTGGAACAAAACCCTTCCCACACTCATTGTCCTTAGTTTAGAAAGAAAATTAGCACCATCCTGTATCTCTGCCTCTCCCCATGTTCTCACAGCAGAGTGCCTCCTTCTTTCCCCTCTCTTTTATCTCCCCCACTTTCAGACAGTTTTACCACATAAGACCCTGGTGGTCTTGAACGTGTGACCCTTCTGCGCCAGCCTCTCTTACGCTGAGATTAAAGGCAGGTGCCACAACACCTGACTCACAGGCTTCCTAACCGTCTTGGAATCGCAGCTGTGGTCAGATCGCCTCGCTGCCGCCAAATCCTCAGTGCATCTTCTACAAGCAGACTCTGCAGGAGCAAGGCCACCCGCAACCCTGGCCTGCCACACCTTCTCTCCATCCCACAAACCCTGCATGTGTTGCACGGGCCAATACCACGGCTCCACTCAGTGACCCGTTTTTCCTACTCCTTCCTTCAGCCTTGTGATTTCAAATGCTCACCCCACTCTCGTGCCTTCTGCTCGGCTCCATCCGCATCAAATCCCAGACTGAGTCCTTCCTGGTTGGTCTCCGTGTCTAACCCTTTCCACCTTCCATTCCTTACCCCCACCCCTGCTTTGACACAGGGTCTCACTCTGGAGTTCAGGCTGGCCTCAACCTCCTGGCCATCCTCCTTCCTCGGCCTCCACGGGGCTGGGGTTGCAGGCTTGAGACACCGAGCCTCTGGCCTCCTACGCTTACATAGAGCTCTAGAGTTCTACTCCGTCCACTCACGGCTCCCTCATGACTCACCCTCTTTTCCTTTGCCTTGTGTTATAGGCACCTGCATGTGTCCTGTTCTTTCTGAAAAGCTAAAATTTACTTGAGTATGGGGAAGACTCTGATGTTTACTCTTACCCCCCAGCCCTGCAACTTGGCCCCTACTCCTAAAGCATAGAAACTGATCCCAAGATGATCCACGTCGAGAATGCAGTTGGCTTGTCCTGGCGGGGAGCTGGACAAGACATTGAACGAAGCTGCACAGGCTGGTTCCCTTTCTTTTTTCTCTGAGACAGCCAGCCTAATGTTCCCTTTAAAGCTCCCCATAATTACCATGCAAAAATACCCCTTATGCACCTGCCTTGTGAATCCCATTACCTAAGAATGGCTTGAAAATGGCCAAAATGAGTATTAAGTTGTGCACAACTAGCATTGTCCGCAAAAAGTCAAAAGATGAAAAGGACTGGGAATAAAGGTCAGCTTAACTGCTGACCCAGGCCAAAGGTCGGTCAGAAGTCACACTCTTAGCTAGAAAGGTCAGTCAAAAGTCCCACAGCAATGCAAAGTGAGGGATTTGCGGCAGGTGTTTAGAAAGGAATTCGAAGGCTAGAGCGTCCTCCAGGGTCTCAGCAGGCCAGGGGTGGCAAGGTCTCCCCAGCCCAGCGTCTCCCTGTGCCCCCCTTGCGGCTGGGTGGAAACAGACAGACACGCATGGCTTCATTGTCTTAGCTTTGCTAATGGTTCATCACAAAGACGTTCTAAAGACACCCCACTCATACATAAAGCTCCAGCTAGGTTCAGAATTCACCAAGTAACACTTATTAGAATTAAAAAAAATGCCCACTATAGAAATTTTCTTGGTAGACTAATGAAGGGGACAGTTAATGGTCATGGCTAGAGAAATTTTGAAAATGTGGATTGTAGTGGATGTAATCCCATTCTTTGTTCTAAGTAATCGTAGGAAGAAATAACCAGAACTCTGGTCAAAGAACTATGCACATAAACTTGGAGACAGTCCCATAGTCCTGGCTATGCTGCAGGTAAGACTAAAGGATTTCTCTAACTCCAGAATTTGCAATGTGCGGAGCATAATGAGACGTTGTCTCTGGGGAAAATTCTTTTTCAAAGAAGTATAGATATGACTGTTTCAGAATCTTATGTAAGGAACATTATGAGTATATATTAGGCATAAGACCAACAAAAATTTCATTATCTATCAGGCACTGAACCCAAGAACTTCTAGTATATGACTCACCTAATTTTAATGATACTGTTGTGTTTGCTAATACAGCATGACTTGTATCTATTAATTATATGTGCTTTTTGGGGGCGGTCCTGGGGATTGAACCTGGGACCCTGGGCATGTTTGGCAAGCACTCCGCTACTGGGCGACATCTCCAGCCCCGATTACATGCGCCATCATACCAACAATGCTGCTGCCATTTCACAAGCTATCAAGGCTCTGACTGCAGGCTCACACCGCTGAATCAGGATGGTATAGTGTGCTGTTTCCACCTGGAAGAGTTACGTCATGTAAATCCAGAGTTATTTTTCATGCTGCTTTATTTACATCCAAGTCATTTATTCTTTTTCACTCTAACCACATCTGTGGAGCCTAGAGAGAGGGAGCTTCCTGCCCTACAAGCGCCAGGCGGTGGTTAACACCAGAGAACCCCTGGAAGACAGCGGCACCCAATGTGATGTCTTCCGTACCACGGGTGGCTGCGCGGTGCGCACCCGTTGGGCACCGGCCTGAGACCATTTGCCCCTTTCTCCCAGTCCCTGCCAACAGACCTGTTCTGCCTCATCTGGCCATCCTGCTCCATCATGGCAAGCAGACCAGGCCAGACCACTTCAAACACTCACTGCATTCCCCTACCTCACCCCATTCCCTCCTCCATCTCCCCTACCCTCCTGGTCTCCGCTCTTAGGAGTCGGACAGAAAGGAGGACTTATCGCCTCGCACAAGACACACATAAGACGCATTTTTGCCCTCTGAAAATCCTTGTACTGATTTTTGTTAGCTGAGCACGGACACGTGTCAGGAACGGAAGGGGCGGGAGAGGCGACCCGGCGGTTAAGATTACTTGCTAGGCCTTACAAAGTTCCTGGCGCCCATGTGGCAGCTCACAGCTCTAGTTCCTGGGGCTCTGACGCCCCTTTCTGGTTTCTGTGAACACCGGGCTTGCATATAGCGCGCATTCATACATGCAGGCAAACACTCTCACACATAAAATAAAAGTAAATGGGTATTTTCTTTCTTCAATAAAAAAATATGGCTAAGAAAGGCATAGAATTAGACTTCTTGGGTTCAACACGACTTTCTTTTACACAGCCTCAGGACTGTGGTGTCCAGCTTCTCCTTTGGGGTAAATGGAGTTGGAGGTTTTTTCTCCTGCCTGCCAGTTTCCAAATAACCACTCAGAAGTTTAATGTTACCTTTAAATGCCTGGGCAGTGACTCAGGTTTATTTTCAGCTAGCTCTTACATTTAAATTAACCCATTTTTGTTTTTAAATCTCTGCCCTGTCATGTGATTTGTGGCTTGCTGCCTGTCTGGCTTTCTCCATGACCGGGTGGCACCTCCCTAACTCTGCCCCTCTTCTCCCTGTATATCTGCTTGGATTTCCCTCCTGACTCTCTTCGGCCTGGCTACTGGTCCAATCAGCCCCTTCGTTAATAGTGGTAATGAAACCCATTCGCAGCATAGGGTGCTACATTGAAATAACTTGTGTCTACTCCAGAAGTCAGGTAATAACTTCGGTGTGTTTTTTTCTAATATTTCACCAGATAAATCATGGTTCAGTTCTACCTTATGCGTGTACACGTGTGTGCACACATGTTGCCTGTGTGGCCTCGCGCTGCTTTATCCCTGCACACGGTGCATCTGCAAAAGTGCAATTACACGAGAGACTGGGATGTGTGGACCCCCTCGAATTCCATCTCGGGATCGAGCAGCGGGTGGATTTTGAGGGGTAGTCAGCAACGAGACAAGGTTCCCCGGGAAAAATCCCCGGAAGGACGAGACATCTGTCACCTGGCTGGCGTGTGGTGTCTAAGTGGTGCTGAGGTGTCCACGTGATGGGAGGGTTGTCGTCGTATATCAGTGAAAGCCACCATCAGTGAGTGACTGGAGAAGATCAGAGGATCAGGCTGGATTCCCTTTGACACCCTAGCTAAATCTGTGGCCATCATACGAGACCCTTGCAAATATTTTTGTGGATCTAATTCGCTCATAAGGCACAAAATTGTATTGAGACTGGGAGGTGATCTCAGTGCCAGAGCACATGATTCATGCTCTAAGTCCTGGGTTCAATT